TTTAGGTTTAAGACTGCAACTGATCAGTCTCTTTGTGACATATGTGCATACTATGAGTATTGCCTCGATATTGCCTTACTTCACAAGCATTCTAAGCAAAGATGACCATTCTTTCAACTTACACTCTGATTTAGATTTTCATTTCTAACAATCTTCTCTAAAACCTTTTTGAAGTGATTGTTTGCCCCAATTGTAGACAATACTACACTCAGTTCAGTTTGTTAGTCTACCATCTCTGTAATGAGCTTAATGCTCCCGTCAATTAAGTTTCTTATCACTGTGACTTTCGCACAACAAGTATGAGTTGGGCCGTAATCAAAGTATCTCTCAGAATGTATTGATTGCCTGAATACACTAATTTTTAACTTATCATCGTCTCCTTTCAATCAAACAATCGAGAAACGCTAGTTTGTGGTCAGTGGATTAGCTTTACGTTATCCGACATGCTGTTTATATTTTCAAATATTTCTTTATATTGTGAACTTTTCACATGATTCACATATAACTAGCTAGTGTTATCCTACTTACCAATCAACATCTGAATATGATTGAATAAACACAGTATAGATTTGATTTAATTGTTAAACATTATATAGTTCTTTGGTAGTTTTGATTTTGTTTATTACCCTGAAGAAGTTCGGACAACTTTGATGGACGAAATGTTGGAATTATTTTAAATTTCAGTCGTTGAGGTTATTTCAAATATAGTTTCAATAAACAATTTCATGTATTGGTAATTAAGAAATAAAATAGTTTATTAAGAAATAGGACTAGAATTAGGCAATAAATTAGTAGAAAATTTCAGGTGTCCAATTGGGTGATATATAATGTTTGGTAACTTAGACAATGATATGGTAAAGTCAAAATGTATGAAAGATAATTGTTCACTTGATGAGTATGAGGAAGTTGATGGATACGTTTGAGTTAACGTCCAATTTTTATAACAAACGATAAACAACTAAAAACACTATTATTAACAGTTCATTTATCGAAGACAAAATGATAAACACTCGGACCATGTTAGAATTAGGTCAAATTACATTACACGGCAAGCCCCAACTTGAAATCCTGAAGAGAAGAAGAAAAAATAATGAAGGCCAACGAAAACATTTTGTCGGGAATTGGAAGCAGGCATCGAAAGAATGAATAGCAAATGGAAAGGATTTGATTGAGATCATAAACCGACTGATGTTAGACCACCTTTGGAAATCTGAAAGCACTGGACGGCTGTTTCGTCCTATTGTCCTCAGCAGTGCGCATCCACAATCCCGCTCGCGGGATTCGAACTCGCGAGAGTAAGTTGGAGAGTCGTAGTAGGCAGCCTATCCTCCTTCCAAGGGGTAACAGGAGTAAGTAAGTAAGTAAGTAAGAATAAAGGCTAGCATATGTTGGTCTTGAACACATAGTTTTGATTTGAATAAACAACTTTTCTATAGTGCATAAGTTGTTGAATTGTGTCCATTTTGAACTGCGAATTCCCGAGTACTTTATTATGTAATTCTATCCCCAATTTTTAATAGACCACCTTATTAATTAAAATACTGTCAGTACAACTGTACAACTTGAATAAAGGATATTGTCGAAAAGAAAATTATTAAAACTTGTGCCCTGTATTCTATTAATGTATAATATGATGATACCGCCAATTAGGAAGCAGTGACCTATCGATCGAACCAACGACTCATAAACCCGTAGAAGTAGTCTAGAGTCCCATTATAGGTCCTGCTTCCTGCTTAGCCCTGCCTATTAAGTTCAGAACACCAATCTCACCCTCTGCAATATCAGTCATGTGTTTCAAACATACTGGGTTTATATAAAAAGCAAACAGAACATATCGTACCATAAAATAAAAAATAACACTTGTATAAGATTTAGCCAAATGTGGCTGTGAATATGGGAGATAGTAATTGATACACTTAACATAACTCAGAAATGGTAAATCGTATAATAATAGTTTATAAGTCAAAATAAAGCTTATAGTAAGTGGAACACGAGTATGAATAGTTTAGTTATTTTACAATTATACGATAGAAATATCCATGTATTATTAATCCAGAAATAGATCCTAACAGTTATCCTTCATTATTCTCATCGGGATATAACAGAAATTTTCTTCGCTGATTTGTTGTATTTTTTACCTCTGAAACAAATTATATTATTTAAAGTGAATGAATTTGTTGAAGTAGAATACACAGTATAAAACAATCAAGTAATTTGCTTGTTTGTTTTTACAATACAGTTAGTTAAAGATACCAAATGCTCTGATGCAGAAACTAGGTGTATTAATATAAATGATCAGTCACGAACTGTTCATGAAAAGAACAGGAAAAAAACACAGTTATTCTTTGTCTTCATTACGCTTTAATGAACTATGAGTATGAAAAGACACGTCACATCTTATAAATAAGATGAAAGATGTTCATATTTTGGAGGGTTTAGGTTATTATTGACTGAGTTTTAATAATATAAATAAAAATCATACCTGTTGAATGAGTTAGTTAGTGTACATCCAAACTATGAAGTTCAATAGATAACGTAATGTGTGTTCAAAATGAAAGATATTGACTTTGTGATTCATTGTGAATATCAACGATGGGGTACCGATTCGTCCAGATGATAATCTATTTTCTATACAATGAATGATCTTGAAAAGTATGTCGGATTACATGAGATAGAAGTTGAATAGTACATTTAAGGAATCATAATCATAGATAAACATGGTACACTTCTATTTGGTGTTAATATATGTGGGTAGATATAACAGTTAGATAGAAAGAGAAGTATCATTTTACATGAAAAACTAAGTACCTTAGATGTTGTCTGTTAAATAATTAAAGAAATATTGGTGCTAGCTTTTCTAAAATAGTTAGTATTGAATTTGTGGTTCATATTTTTTCAATCAGACCTAGCAACGTTACTGTATTTCCAAAACAAATGGCCACTTTTAGAAACACAGGTTTTTTTAAGAAGAAGTGATAAACACACATGAGTAAGATTATAATCAATGAAGAAACATTGGTTTTGTCGAAGTCATAAACCTATTCAATTTAGACAACCATTAATAACTAGGAAGCATTGGACAGCTGTTTTGTTCTAGTATGGGACTTCTTCGTAGTAGGCATCTACGACCTTGCAACTATGAACCTAACACAGTACCATTATTCGCTCTTGATCGCTTAACCTTCAGACAATTTAGTCAATGTTCAATGGTAAAGATGACTAATTGCGATCAACACACAATATTGTATAACCATCTTAATAGTAATTTAATTGTTGAATTCATGAGTCAGTTGAAACTAGACCACCATGGAAAATCTGGAAGCATTGGACGGCCGTTTCTTCTCAGTATGAGGCTTCTCAGCCGTGCGCATCCACGATCCCGCCTCGTGTGACTCCAACCCAGGACCTATCATTTTAGCGTGCCACCGTCCACCATTGCCATGATTGAGTTGCCATCTCACAACTGACCCGGCTGAAGTCCACTGGTCACGGTTTCTTACTAGAACTCCAGGAAATACCTCTTGGAGACTGTCACTAATGAGCATATGATATTAATTATCATTATCATCTTAATAGTTTTTATTGTAATTATATATATTCTTCAGTTCATAGTTAAACTGTACTTCCACTTTCTAAATTCTCAAAAACCTTCAATCACGAATGTTTCATTTCAGAATAAAACCAAAATAGCTCTAGTTTAAATTCATTGTTTAGACTGGCTTACACAATAGTAAATAATTCGTAACACCTTTTATATATTCACTCAAATCTGTCATCCAAAATGATGTATTTGGATATTATTGTTTTAAAATGAATGTAAAAGCCAATAATTTTTTCAGTGATCACCTTGATTGTATGAATAAGTTCTAGTAATCATACAATCACTACTTTAGATTCAATTATGAACATGGTTTACAGGCAAAGGTGAATTATATTCCAGAATGGTATATCTTTATATTCATATGTAACGGTTGTTTGAATCTTATCATTGATATTTAGAATAGTAATTATTCAGTCTTTTTTAGCATATGTGCATTCTGTGCGGATTGCTTCTATATTGCCATTAAATCACAAGAATTGTAATCAGAGTTGGATGTTCGATAGCAATATGGTTCAATAATACGTATTCCTTCTTGTTTAGCACTCGTTAACTGAATGTACCTGTACTCCAGAATTGATGTTCACTTCAGGACTCGGACCTAATACCGAACGCCTCAAACACCATCATATCATCCACCTAGTTACGGAGTAAAGCACTGAGTTCATGACTCGAAGTGAACATCAACTTTAGGATATAGTCACATTCGGCTAAGTATTACCAAATAAGAAGAAACGTAGATCATGGACTTTAATTTTAACCACCATCTATCACTGCATATGTCTTTCTGTATTTGAGTGAAAAATATGTGAATCTAGACAGATTGAACACATATTTTGATAGCACTTAAACGAAACACTACTTCTTTATTACTTACAACCATACACTCAAAATTTACTGTTAAAAGTAAAGTAAGAACCATGGTCATTTTATTGTCAGCCCACATTTGAATTCATTCAGGTACCAAAAGATAAAATATCTACGTTTCATTTTATTACTGTCATTATCAATGTTGTAGTGAACGAGAACACGAATAGGAACAGTCGAATGTATTCGAACACGAAATTCCAGAACATCTCTGAGAACTTTACAGTAAATGCTTAATTTGCAAAATATCAATCTATTGTCTCAAACCTGACTGTTTCCTTTGGAAATATCAGTCCATCATCTCAGATTTCATTGTTTCTGCATTTTCATACCAATTGTTTTTCGTTCTTATTCTTTCCTTCTGGATTTTCTACTGTGATACATTCTATTTTTGACTATCATTATATACTACTTATATGTATATAAGTAGCGCAAATTACAATATATTTAGTATTTACCTACAAAATTTATTTGCATCACATTTGTTTACACTTATTTCCTTCTTAACTTCCCTCTTTTTTGTCTACTTAACATAACCATATGGTTCATTATGTGTTGAATTTTTGTTTGTTTGTTTCATTTTAGTTTATTAATTTAGCAAGTAAATTTATTGGGATATTTAATCTTGTTTTATTACTTCTACTACTTGGACATTGGAATGCTTGTTTACAATTTCTTATACCAATGTTACATGATTATCCAGTAGAAAGTTGGGTAGCCAAAGGTAAACTACAAGTAAGTAGATAGTGTATATCATCTTAAAAATTTAATGTCATTCATTAAAATTACAATTTATTAATGAATAATCATGTTAATATGATTACGTAACATCATACTAAGTAATATTACATATCAGATAAGGTTATGTGAATATTATGGTAATTCATATAGCTGAAATCATGAGTCAATTGAAGCTAGACCACCATGGAAAACCTGGAAGCACTGAACATCTGTTTCGTCCTATTGTGGGACTCCTCAACAGTTCGCATCCATGACCCCACCTCGCGAGATTCTAGCTTCAATTGACTCATGATTTTAACTATTAAAATTAGCATTACATTGATGAGATTAATAGAACGCTACGTAAATTCTGTATCAATATATATGTCAATAAAGAAAATTCCTTTCTTTTTTCAAAATAAACAATTAGTGTAACACTATTTAACTGACTACATGTTTTTTGTGTAAGCAAGTGGATGTGCAGATATCGCTTGAAATTAAATGGGGACGAATGAATGAAATAATATCAACAGGAAACTAATAACAAATGGGAGAAAAATGCATTTTCAAGTATTTAATTTTCATAGATTAAACCGCAGACTGACCTTAGAAACCAGGAAAAACCTGACGGCTATTTCACCCCTTATTATGAGACTTCTCAATAGTACACATCGACAATACCACCGGGAATCGAACATGATACCTTCGGTCTCGCGAGCGAATGCTTAACCTATAGGCCACTTAATTGGAATCTGGTGATTTACAGGCATAATTTTAATCAATTGGTGATTTTGTGCAATCATCTTTATATTTATATATTTCCAACACTTTTGTTATGTAGTTAATTGTAAATTAGTTACTTAGCTAGTCACTTACTTATAGATGATTGTTCAGTAGCTTGGGTTAACACATCAGATTAACTAACTAAAACAAATTTTTAATGGTGAGTTACAAAAGAGTTGTCATGACAGCAAGAAAAACGCGTTTTAACCAGTCAGAAGGCAGTAACCTCTATTTATAATAGGAAACGAAGAAAATTACTGGTAAGATATTGCTTTTACATTATTAGGGAACTTTCCCAAGTTTTCTATGGATTCTCTAACTTTGATATTCCGAACCAAAAACTCTAACATTAACATCTTACCTAATTGATCTCGTGTTTCTATACATCCATTCAGGGTAGTTTCTTCACGACATTCACATATAATTGCTTTTTAATATTTTACAAATATCTTATATTATCCTCGCTGAAATTTGTCATAATGCGATAAGCCGTTATATTCATGCTACCCTATTTTAGCCAAATGATAGAATTTATCAGTATATATGCCGTGACGCTGAAGCCTCTTAGTCATTCCTGAATGGTTGTGTGGCATTCCGTAAGTTACCCCCATTCATTTAGAACCTTAAGATAAGATTGTATTCACCCTTTCACATTTTCTCCCATTACATATTACTTCTTATTATTAGAAGTTGAACTTGTCAGAGGACATTACCATACATATTTTTTTCTTTAATATTTATTTAACAGAATGCTTATTGGTTTGATCAATACACTTGGGCTTTGTTTAAAGCTATGTCACATATGTTAACTATTGGTTATGGAAGATATCCACCTACCAGTTTAAGTGAAGCATGGGTTACAGTGATTAGTATGGTTACTGGAGCTACTGGATATGCTTTATTTGTTGGTCATGCGGCAGCATTAATACAATCATTTGATTGTTCAAAACGTCTTTACAGAGAGAAAGTAATTTCACTATTATTTTTACTATATAATTTACTTGTATGTAATATGCTACTTCATGTCAGTATATTTAAACTGTTTAAATTACTACTGTAGTTTAAAATGAGAGATAGTCATTAATTTAGTAGTGAAAGAGAATATGGGTGAGGACAACTGATTATATTTAGCATAAAATTACAGAGTTACTTGATAAAATAGAAAAACTATACTCCAATACTTCATTACTTGTCTCAGACTTCATTGTTCTTGCATTTCCATACTAATTGCTTTCTGTTCCCATTATTTCCTCCTCGATATTTTCAACCTTGTGCTACCAGGCATTCTATTACTATTTGGTGTTATATACTACTTATGTCGACAAAAGTAGCACATACCACAATTTAATACACAAATTACTTACCAATTTCAATGCATTTCAACTACTAATCAGTTTTTATCAAGTTTTGGCTGATAATTATGATTTACATATGTATGGATGAAATTTTTGTAGTAAATTAGTCACTAATTAAATTACATGTATGGTGAGATACATTTTATCTCTACGTAGCTTCGATTATCATCAGCTGATTTTAACACTGTAATATTTTGAATTAAGTGTAATTCTATGTATCTGAATTATATACATTAACAGATAGATGGTCCACAAATAATTCCGATAGATGTATTCTAGCCTTATGTAAAGAGTTATGGAACAATACTGATCCAAACTTGTTGATTACTGACTTATGGATCAGTGAATATTTTAAATTAGGACTATAATTCGTTATTCAGTTAATGAGAAGCAGCCAAAGGTTAGTTCAGACTAAATCCAACAGATTAGGATTTTCGACATTATAAAATTACTTACCAATATTAAGCACATCTAGTTGACGAGTCTTAAATAAAATGAAATGCTATGTATACCAGTATAGGGTAGTGAAGATTATTGAGTTTAGTTTGAGATGATGAATCGATCAGTGTTAGACAACCATTGAAAAACTTGAAGCACTGGATGGCCGTTTCGTTTTAGTATGAGGCTCCTCAACATCACGCACCCATGATCCCGAATACGGGACTCGAACTAAGGACTCTCAGTCACGTAAGAATGCTTAACCTCGAGACCGCTGAGTCAGGATCCAACAGTGTTAATGTCTATCTCCAACTAATCTACGATATTATGCCATCCTCTTTTATTTCTTCAGTAGTTTGTTGAATTATAAAATTACGATGAAATCATTGAAAATAGTTTTATTTTATAAATATTTAGTTTAAACAAGTGGATGAATATATGGCATATAGAAAACTTCCACGTGGTTTACGTAAACGTATTGCTAGTTATTATGAACATCGATATCAAGGGAAAATGTTTAATGAAAATGAAATTCTCAATGAACTTTCAGAATGTTTAAAAGAGGTAAATATAATTTTATTTCTTTTGTAAATGTTCATTTGACAATGGTTGTTATGACTTAAAACCCAGCTTGTTATCATGAAATTTTTTGGCCAATCGAAATACGACTGTGCGAAACCAATGACATTCGACCGGTATGAGCAGCCTAACATTCTTATCGGTCCTTTGTTCGTCAAGCCCGTTCAGTTGAGTCCAGAACACTAATAACAATCTTCCAATATGCGAATTATTTATTTCAAACATACTTGGTTTATATACCAGGCCAAATGAACCGCATCACATCATAAAATAGGAAATAATATTGATACAAGATCAACCCAAAAAGTGGTTGTGAACGTGGGAGACTGTAATCAATAAACTGAACATAACTTATGAACAGTAAATCGTATAATATTGATCTATGTGTCAGAATGAAGCATATAATAAGAGGAATATAGATATACATAGTCCAATTACTTAGTAGTTATACAATAAGAATGTATAGATCACACCAATCCATTAATGGGTCTCGGAAGTTACTCGTAATTTAATCTCCGCTAGGATATAACATTGAGATTTGATTCAGTAGATGATATTAGTTCATTCATAGTTCTCAGAAGTTACCTGTAATTTAATCTTCACTGGAATAATATAACAATGATACATATTTTTTCATTGTCTGTACAAACTTGTATTTGTTCTGTACTTAAGCAATAAGTACAAATACCTCTGAACTTTTTATTTCAACGATGACATATCAAAATTAGTAGTCATTTTGTTGATGTTCAATCCAGCTTTATATGGATACTATAGAATAATATTAGTACAAAACACAGGTACTCGAATAAGTTAAATTCAAACATTTGATCTCAAGACATTTGGATACAACTAGGTGGAAGTAATAATCATACTACAGGATTAAGTTAAAAGAAAAATAAAATTAGTGAGATTCATAAAATTACGTCCGAATATCACTCGTAAACTATCATTTACTTAGAACTTATGTGTTTGAGATTTTGATAGTATACCTTTCGGAATGTGTGGAAACGTTTTTATTAGATTGCAATAGGGAGCCCTAACGCTGGATTTCACCAGTCAGATATGTCTCCTATCTTCAGGGAATAAGTGACTACTTAGAGATTATAACATGTGTTGTCTGTTATCACAACCAAAGATGTTAATATTTAGCTATTAATATGACGAATAACACTGTAACTAATGCATATTATATCATATACCGGTATGTATGAAAGTTCCAAACACGAAAAGATCCGTCAGTATGGGTTGTAGAGATTGCTGAATTTCATTGACAACATGAAGCAATGAAAGTTAGACGAACATTAAATTTCTGGAAGCATTAAACAACCGTCTCGTTCTAGTATGAAGCTTCGCAATAACGTGTATCCATGATCCCGAAAACAATATTTTAACAAAGGACCTTCATTCTCTCACACAAACACTTAATCCGTAGACTACTGAGCCGGCATCCAACGGTGTTAATGTCTAACTCCAACCGATCCACGAAGTTGCGCCACCATACACCATAGTCCTCAGTGAGCTGATATCTCATAACAGACCTGGTTGAATTCCACTGGTAACGACTTCTCACTAGAACTCCAGGAGTATCTCTTGAAGTCAGTCACTAGTGAGCAGTTGATTATTATCAGAATGGGTTTTTTGCTTACTAGTGACTGACTTCAGGAGATACTCCTGGAGTTCTAGTGAGAATTTGTTACCAGTGGAATTCAACCAGGTCTGTTGTGAGATATCAGCTCACTGAAGACAATGGTGTATGGTGGCGCAACTTCGTGGATTGGTTGAAGTTAGACTTTATAAATTGCTCAAAATAATATATAAAATGGTCTACAAAGTAATTAAGTTTAATTTATCACATATCATCAAAGAATGACTTTATAAAGGGTGAGATAGAGAAAGATGTTAGACTTTGATGTATTTACTTTGATGTTTATTGGCTTTATCTTCATGTTGATTACTTTTTTTTCACTTAAGCAGTTTACATTTGACTAGTAAAGAAACATTAACATTTTACAAAGCGTTATCTCTCCCTTAATAATAATAATCCGTTTTCTACTATCAAAGTAATACAATCTAAATAGAATCAAGTGTCTATTGTTATCTGAAATGATTTTAGTGTTAGTAAAATCAGTTTTTTCGTGTGTAAAATGTCACTGAATTATGTATGGATTATTAATAAGTGGACTAATATTGTTCATTCAAGTGTTATTTATTGATAAGGCCAAGATGTTCTGATCAAACTGTACTATTTTTTTTCATTGAACTAATATTGTTAAGAGGGAATGACTTGAATGTCTTAAATGGAATAAGATTTTAAAATTTAATACCAATTCATAGTCGCCTAATAAGTAAACCTAAACGAAACACTTTCATACAATATTTGATGCGCACTGCTGAGGAGTCCCATACTAGGACGAAACGGCTGTCCAATGCTTCCAGGTTTTCCATGGTGGTCTAGCTTCAATTGACTGATTATTTCAATCAGTGAAATTTCTAAAATCACCACAAAAACCCCTTCTGATAATATTTGAATAGTTCATATAATAGACTGACTTTAACTCAATAATTATTGAAAACCAGATAGCAGTGCACAAGTGTGGACAATCGAATGTATATGAACACAAAATTACAGAATATTCTAGTAAAATCTGAGAACCATACAGTGAATACGGTAAGATTATAATTTATGGACGACCTTTGAGCGACGCTAAAATGACCTTGAGAGTGCCTACCTACTTACTAGGGCTAAATGAGGGTTATAAAGCATTTTGAAGAATAAGGATTATGATTTACAATTAATGGTTGGGGTTAGGAATTAGATTTAAGGTATTCATCGTTAACTGACGTAAGCTATAATGCCGAGACTCTATTTAACCAAATGGGTGAATGAATTTCGCACCAAAATCTAAGACTTGTTATCGTAAATCTGATTGGTTCGTCCATAAATTATAGTCTCGCCGTGAATACCTAATTTGTAAAATGTCAATCAATTGTCTCAAACTTGACTGTTCCTTTTGCAAATATTAGTCAGTCGTCTCAGACTTCAATGTTCCTGAATTCTCATACCAATTATTTTCTGCTACTATTCTTTCCTCCTCGATCTTCTTGACCATCTGCCGCCAGATATTTTATTCCTGATTTGCGTTGTATACTACTTATGCTGATATAAGTAGCACACACCAGAGCAGAAGACTGTCTACAATAATCTTACATAGTAATAGGCAATTCTGCCCTAATGACTTACTCTAAGAAAAATTGATGGTGTTTTAGTAATAAATTATAACTGGTGGAATTTACCAATGTCAAGATTGAGACAGCTATCACAGATGTTAGACCACCATTGAAAACCTGGCAGCGCTGGACAGTCGTTTCGCCATAATGTGGGACTCCTCAGCGGTGCACAGCCACGATCCCGCATGCGGCACTTAAATCTAGGACCTCCGAAGTCTCACACGAAAGCTTAACCTTTAAACCACTAAGCTGGCATATAACAGTGTTAATGTGTAACTTCAGTTAATCCACGATAATGCATCACCGTTCACCATAGTTTTCATTTAGTAACTACCTCATAACAGGCATGGTTGAAGTCCACTGGTCACGTCAATTCATCAGAACTCCATGAAATCCATCTTGAAGCAAGTCACTAGTGAGTACATAAGGAGTCCCATACTAGGACGAAATGGCTGTTCAGTGCTTCCAGGTTTTCAATGATGGTTTATCATTGATCAATTCATGATATCAATCTAAGCTTAACAATCTCCACAACCCTATACTGATAAATATATATTTTTTGTTTTTTACATTTAAGCAAATTATCAATTACAATTGTCGAGCTTTAGTTGCTGCTGTACCATTTTTTACATTTGCTGACCAAAATTTTGTCTCAGAAGTAGTTGTTAAATTACGTTATGAAGTGTTTCAACCAGGTGATTTGATTATTAAAGAAGGTACAATTGGTACAAAAATGTATTTTATTCAAGAAGGTATAGTGGATATTGTTACAAGAGATGGTGAAGTAGCCACTAGTCTGTCAGATGGTTCATATTTTGGAGGTGAGTGTACTTTTTTTAGGCACAACTTTAGACCTCATTGGTACAGTTTAATTATTTTATTGTTATTAACTGACATTTGTGATTAGTCGTTCTTATGCGTATGTCAAACATTCATGTAACTCGATTAATAGAGCTTATTTGTACAGGTTTGTGTATTCGCCTTGATTTTTAATTGTTAACATGAGAGCTAGTGATAGTATTAGAACACTCAAAAAAGAGTAGGTAAAATGGGATACGAGTCTTGAACCTACTAGTAAAAGTCGAACACTTTAACCATTAAACCACCGTTCCATAAATCTTCATTAAATTCATTATTAGCTTTCATATGGTAAAGTTACTACTATTTATAGAAGTGAATTTTGAATATTTGGTTAAGACTTTTAGCCGATTTTACTGTTTCTATGTGTCAAATGTAGATTTGAATGAATTATTGGATAATCCAATTCAATAATCACATGAAGCAACTACTCAAAAAGCTTGTAGATTTTGTGAAGTAATCTAAATTAGTATAATAAGAAAAACATACAGTTGAATAACTGATATCTTCAAGAATTGGTTAGATAATTGTTATAACTTGTTGACCTGTGCGCCCTGTTAATGTATAACATATAACGTAACGATACCGCCAATTAGGGAGCAGTGACTTATCGATCGAACCAGCGATGCATAAAACCCGTATGAGCAGTCTAGAGTACTTATCGGTCCAGCTTCCCGCCTAGCCCAGCCAGTTAAGTCCAGAACACCAATCTCAGCCTCTGCAATATCATTAATTTACTTCAAACATACTGAGTTTATATACCAATCAAACAGACCACATCGTGTCAATAAAATAGGAAACAAAAATCGTGCGAGATTTGGCCAAATGTGGCTGTAAATGTGGGAGGTAGTAATCAATAGACAGGGCATAATTCAAGAATGGTAAATCGTATAATAATAGTTCATAGGTCAAAATGAAGCTCATAGTAAGTGGAACACGAATATGAATAGTTTAGTTGCTTAACAGTTATACGATAAAATATACTTATATTATTTGTCTATAAATGGATCCCAAAATTTACCATTCATTATACTTATCGCGACATAACAATAGAACATAAAAAATATATTCTTTAATTCACTACCAAACATTACAGACATGTATTGATGAATCTCTATTAGTTAATGAGTTCTGGTATTGCATGTTGATTATATTTTTCAGTAGTTTGGAAGTAGTTTTAATATATTTGAGTGTTTAATTCAATTCACATTGGCAGGGTAAGCTAAATGGAATAAAAGTGGATTCATTCGATAAGTTGAAAAAAATAAAAGGCAAAACGAAATAGATATTGTGTATTGTTATAGGAATTTTCTTGAAGTAGTACTTTTTAAAATTAACTTCCTAAAGTTCTAGTGAGAAGCAGTGACCAATGGAGATCAGCCGGGTCTGTTGTGAGATTTTAACTCACTGATGACAATGGTGGACGGTGGCACGCGTAACTGATAAGTTCTGTGTTTGAATCTCACGAGGCGGGACCGCTCAGTTTCTTGGATTAGTTGAAGTTAGACATTAACACCGTTGCATGCCGGCTAGCCCAGTGGTCTAGAGGTTAAGTGTTCGTGCGCGAGAATGAAGGTCTTGAGTTTGGATCCCGCCTGTGGGATCGTGGATGCACACTGCTGAGGAGTCCCACAATCAAACAAAATGGCTGTCCAGTGCTTTCGGATTTTCTATGGTGGTCTAGCTTCAACTGACGCATGATCTCAACTACTAAAATTATTTTAAAATTGTCAGATAATTTGTTTCATTTACATTGTTTGGATCCTTTTGAAAAATAAACACGCTTTTTCTATTATAGAAATATGTCTATTGACAAATGCTCGCCGTGTAGCAAGTGTTCGAGCAGAGACATATTGCAATGTTTATTCATTAGATAGAGCAAGTTTTTTGGAAGTATTAGATAATTATCCATTAATGCGTCGAACTATGGAATCTGTTGCAGCTGAACGTTTAAATAAAATTGGACGTGATCCTTTAGTTGTTAGCAATCGTAAAGATTTGTATGATGATTTAAAACTAGTAAATGAAATAGTGAATCAGGTAAGATTTTTAAATTAAATTACTGAGTGTATTTTATTCTGAATGTTAAAGGCATATCAGTATGTACAATTGATAAATCACCGACTGATGATTAGTGTTAGTCAGTCAGTAACAACGTAGAACTTCGTGCGTACGTACATCAGTTCGACTTGCCATACCACATTAGCACACAGATGCAGTGGTCGATTCAAATCCCGTAGTGCTAGATGTAATAATATTATAAGCTGTAATCAGAAAAATTAGGGTTTGAAGATGTTATTCAAGGGGTACAATACAGTGAAGTAAATTTGGAAAGAGAAAAAAGAAAGGGACATGAAGAATCCAGAAGATTAGAATTTGGGAGAACACAAAGAGTGGATACACCTGCGCCATTGCAAACGATTTTCAGCCATGTCATTCAGGGTCTCTAACCATCGGTTACTATCATCTCGCGGTCCCCAACCAGGTAGTCTACACCTACCAATATGGCTCAGTCGACTTGTCAGTGAATTCATGGACTTGTGCCACGTTTCGGTCTGGCCACCCCTTGCTTTCTTCCAATCTACTCCTAAACAACAAAACATCGCACATAGAGGCAGTCGGTCGTTGAGCATATGTAACACGTGTCCCAGCCATCTCAGCTGATGAAGTTTCACTACTTCATCAATGAATTTGCCATCCTTACCTAGCACCCGTTTCCCAACATCTGCATTACTTACTCGATGGTCCCACGATATACGAGCAATGTTTCGAAGACACCTATGATCAAATACTAGTAACCTACGAATATCCTCTACTCTTACCGGCCATGTTTCACTGCCATAAAGTAGGACGGAACGAACTGCTGCACAGTAAACACGTAAGTTGGCAAAAGCTAGTCGAACCTTCTGTATCCGCGATGAGATTTCGTCACACACCAGACCACAAGGGCTGTCGAGACTTCCAAGATAAGTGAGGCGGTCGACACACTCAACTACTTCACTCCCTATCATTAGTTCGGGTGTCAATGCAACCCAATTCTGAAGCAACATTTTACATTTCGTGGGGGAGAATCGCATCCCGAACATGCTTGCATTGTTGCTTAGAGTGGTCAGAAGACTCTGCATTTGTCAGCGTCTTCACCAAATAGAACTATGTGTGACTAATTTTATGTTCGTCTAGTCTACATGGCTCGGCATCATGTGAACTATGTTCAGTTTTCAGGTGGGTGGAGCTTAGAAGGTCATTATACCATAAAGTTAATGACAAATAAATTATTCAAATGAAATGAAATGACAACATGACTCTGATTTTGCATTTACATTATTCAACCAATTCTATCAATCAACACCAAAGGATTAGATTATTACAAATTAGTAGTTAGTCAGTTGTATCCAACCACTTTACACGATGATATGTACATGAAATTACTACTGGAGTCTGTATCACAATATTTTTAAACATCTACAATGTGGAATTAGTAGAATTATATGTAATGTTTCGTTTAATTTAAAGATAATTTTTGATCATACTCATTATAATGAGAAGAATTATCAAAAATTAATATGAATCAGATAACCTTTTTATTCTAAACTGTAACATCTGATCATTGCATACTCTACCTGAATTCAGGACCTAGTATACTTGATGCAATTAGATCACTATATAGAAACGGAATACTTACATGTTTGATCATTTCTCAGTGTATCATGACGATTATTAAAGAAAAGAATTAAATTCCAACTCATCTTCTTAACTTGCTTACAAAAAAATATATTTGTGAGGATGGCAAACGTGTAAACTCGAGGAAGCTCTAAAAAGCTCAGAAAGAGCCAAAAATATTGCATCCAATCATCTTTTGGAAGAATATTCCCTATTGGACAAATGCTAAAAACCCACTCTATGCGGATTGAAGGACTATACTGATGATTTCATTTTTAGTAAAAAGACTATAAATACATGGTAGTTTTGTACCATATTTGACACTGCTTGGAATAGCGTTCCTTTCACTTGACTTCTGTCTTGTCATTTGCAACTTGGATGGTTCTAGCGTTCAAATGCTCAAGTTAAGAATCTAACCTTTAGATATAACAATAAATAATAACTGTTTATTTACTACGCGTCTTATAAATTAATGGAACTCTCGGTTGTTTTCTGGCTTCTTCAGCTGTGGTCATGCTAAATGGCGAACTCAGTACTTTGAAAAAATCTGTGATATTTCTCATTCATATAAATACGATCGCTTGATAATCAATAGTAACTAGAGTGACCTTGAGAGTCTCCATCTAATCATCTAGGACCAAATGAGGGTTATAAACTAGTGCAAGGAATTAGAATCATGATTTACAGTTGATCGTTAAGATTAGGAATTAGATTTACGGTTTTCATCACGAACTATCATCAGCTATAATTCCAGAACTCTATTTTGACAATTTAGTTCCAAAACCCGAGACCTATTATCTTATACCTAATTGATTCGTCCATAAGTTATAGTCTCACTGTGAAAGATAATCTTTTCTCTATTAGTTTCTACTTTAAAATGACCTTAATCCAATCTTTTCTTTTAAAACTTTATATACATAATTATTGTGATATTTTAGGCTATTCGTGAAACAGATGATGTACAAATCGAAGGAGAAACAGAAGATAGCATTGATGAAGATGGTATTGATAATTGTAGAACTGGTGATAATATGAATACTACTACTACTAATGATCATATTAGTAGTCAATGTCGTAATAATCATAAACATAATCCTAATGAACGAAATTATCAATTATGTAAAAAAATTAATAAATTCTCACATCCAGTGAATTATTTTAAACGACGTAAATCATCACATTGGAATACATTATTATTACGTAAAAATTCTGAACCTGAATGGTGGAATCATTCAACGAATAATCGATCTAGTACATCAACTTTATTCAATACAAATCTACGTAAATGGTATCATATGAAACAAGGTAAATTAAATCATTCAAAAATCATTAAGAAAACTAAAAGTGTAGATCATTTAAATTTATTAAAAGTAACATCATCGAATTTAGTAAATAATTGGCAAATCACAAAATCAACACCGGTGAATGTAACAGTTTCTGTTATTCATGATCATGATCATGTATCATTGAAAGAGTCAACTATATCAAGTGTACCAATTAAAATCAATGAACAAATTAATGAAAATGATCTTTCAATCAATAATCAATAGAAATAATCTATATATCAATATACTTTAAACAGTTATTATTATTATTATTATTATTATTATTACGTAATGTAATCCAATGAAATGGTCTATCTACAATAAAGAGATGCATTTACTTAACTATATTAAACATTCATACAAATATCATTTGTGAATACTAAATGTAGAATTAGTAAATTATTATTATTTAAATAAACAATCTATTTCTTTACATACATTGATATCTCTTATGAAGATGTTTTAAGTTCAATGATTGAGATCATCAATCTATTGAAGTTAGATCATCATGAAAAACTTGGAAACACTGGAAAGCTGTTTTGTTGTATTATGGGACTCTTTAGCAGTGTACATTCATGATTCTACAATAGGACGAAACGGACTATGTAGTGCTTTCATGTTTTTTTCATGATAGTCTATCTTCAATGGACTCATGATCTCAATCATTGAAATTACTGGAATATCCACAAACACTCTTCGAATATTTTAATGTATTTGTTCAGTGGTTGTGAAAGAGTCTAATTTGTTTATCATTATATATATATACATATACCTGTTGATTAAACAATCTATTCAATTAGATTATATTCTTATTGTTATCATTGTCAATAGTTTATTATTCTTTTTGTCACAGTTTGTTTACTTTCTTTTTTTCAACTTAGAACTGTGTGTTAGTACCATTGGTTAATTAATGTCACTTTGAAAGGGGGTACTTTTCCCCCATCAGTACTAGTCACACAACTATCACAATCATTAAATATCTTTTATTTATCATGTAATTTCTCATTGAATAATCAATTGATTAAGACAATTTCAACGAGATGAACATCGAATCCATACAACATTAATATTATATTCAGATTGGATTAAAGTGTTCAGTATTATTTATTGTTCAGTATAAATGTAATAAACGTGAATACAGTTGAAGACAATTGATTGTATTTTTGGTAAAATATAAGAACTATACACTAAAATACTTCATTTTCAAATTTTCATTATTTGTTCTTCACATTCTGTATAATTCTCTAAGTTCTACTGCCAGATTTTCCATTTCCGATTGGTGTTATATACTACTTATATCTGTCAGCATAAGTAGTATACATTACATAACAAGTATAAGCACCTTTATTAACATCACGAAATAAACTTTTGCATAGTATTTATGTTTGCATCAAAATGATTATTAAAGTTAACAAAGAATAGATTTTTCTAGTTCAACCAATTTAACACAGTGATTAGTTAGATGCTTAAATTAGGTTTATTAGAAATTTGACAACAATTTGAAAATAAATTTCATATTGAAATAACATTAGTTAATGATCAGATAGTAAACAGTTGGAAGCTTATATTATTGATTAGTTCGTAAATGGATGAACAATTTGTGTTTATCATTTGGATTCCCTGAAAACGTTTTGCGTAAACTTACAGTTCATATTCATTTTGTATTGTACGTTCGAATATTCCAATGGATGTTTAGGACTGTAATTGATCAGTCTCTTATTGGAATATGTGCATACTGTGCGAATTGCTTCGGTATTGCCTTAATTTACAAGCATTATAAGCGAAAATGGATAGTAGTTAGCAGTTGGATCCAAAACGCACATTTTGTCCTATTTGGAACTCGTCATCAGGATGAAGTGAACGGTACTGGGTTCCAGACCCAGATTGAACATCAACACCGGGATGCACGTACATCCAGCTAGTGAGTTCCAAATAGGACAAAACGCGCGTCCCGGATTCCACTCTAGTCACCATCTATCTTAACAATTAACAGTTTACAGTTATAATATTCTTTAGTTACGACATTTTGGTAAGTTATCTTATCTATAGTTAACTGCAAAGTTTTTGGTATATCAAATAAACACGGTATCTTCTCACTTATTTGAAGACTTATATAACCACATGTACCTTTTGAATATTAAATTACGTTCAATCTAATTGTTGGAAATCTAATAAAGTGTAAGTTATCTCAAACAATCTGAGATTTTGTTTACAATTCTCTAGTACGTAATGAATAACAATCAACAACAACAAAAAAACAACGTTTTATTCACATGGTGTCGTTTACTTGTATCTCATCGAGTCCCAGAGTGAACATCAACTTTGAGATGCAGGTAAATCCAGTTGACGAGTCACAAATAGGACAAAACGCGCGTCAAAGTCGATTCCACTGCTAGTCACTATCTATCTTCGCTTAAAAAAATTTTTTTCAATGTTTTTAACAATTTTATCTTAAAACATCAAAAATATTCTTATAATTCTATATGATATTGTAGGTATAATCTCTTAATCATTATACACTGAAGTAATGAGTTTCAACCTCTTTATTGTAAAATACTTATATCTAAATAACAGTGACTGACCATTGAACAATAATTCCTACCATATTTGCCTAGTCTTCATTGTCGATCATATTCTATAGATTAAGTTAAATTTTAATCACTAGTCTAAATGACTAGGGATTGTATGTAGTGATATGTTCGGGTGTTATATAGATGAAAGTGATCGGTAGATTATCTGGAACGTGTATTCTGTTATAGTTGGTACTAATTGGAAAAAGCCCTCGAATACCCTGGTACGGCCGAGAGTGGGGAGAGACCGTTCTCCCTCTCGAAATGCTCTCACATGGCCACGTGTATGTAGCCTCTGCCAGGGAAGTCCGACTCACTGCGTTCTCGTGGCGGGAGTGTTGTTTGCGAAAATGAGAGGACGAAAAGCGAATATCTGGCGCTTTAACCGGATCCCAAACCAATGGTACACATGGGCTCCAGTATCCTGCGGGAACAAATGGCGTACAAACCAGTCGTTGGTCACCGGCTTCCTTACGTTGCTCCACTGCCTTGTGGATCAGACCTTCAGGTCAAAGGCTCAAGGAGTGGCCCACTAAGAAAACCACCTGCTTCGGTTTGGGCACCCGGGCAGTATCACATCCCTCACACATATCAAATGAGATTTGTGTTGCGCATATGTATTTGGTGCCTCCTTGTACTAATATTTATGTGTTAAAATAAAAAAGTAAATAAATAAAATTGGAAAAAACGTATCTACGAACTTAAGATGTTCAATAAGGTATGAATTTCGGTGTGTGTGTGGGGGGGGGGAGAATTCAGTAAGTCGTTTGATTTTAATCCTCAAAATAAGCGAACTTAATTTTTAGTCCAATACTTTTAATACATCAGATACAATAGTAAACATATTCTTTGTAATATGATCTAATTCAATGTATCAATGTCTAGAGGAAATACAGGCCATCACATGAAGTACATATCCAGATAGTTTTAGAAAGTTAATTCAAATAAGAAAATTATGACTAATTGAATAAATCATTGAAACTTTCTTTTGGCTGACATGTTTTTTTGGCAGGAGATAGAGAACAGTTTCTTGTACAATACAATGAATGGTCTGTCTTGATATTGCAGATTTATAGTCTATACGTTCATCTTACATGAAAAATATATCAATTTTGGTGTTTCCCATGAAATATTTAATACATTTCGATTAACACTTGTGACAGTTTCTTAATGTTTTACTTTCCAGAGGAATAAACATTGATATTAGAAGTACAGTTTTCTATCTAAACAAAACTATTGATTAGCTAATACAGCTAATTCCTATTCTTTATCTTTTATGTTTAAAGAAATCTCATCTACAATATATGATTTTGAGTCAAATGAATATACACTTACAATAAACTAAAAAATGGAATTAGTATTATAAACATGGTAAAGTGAAAAACTTTGGACTTGTTATAACTTGTGACCGCTGATCAGAGGGCGGTGAATTATTGATCGGACCAAGGACGCGTAAAACACATGCGAGCAGCCAAGAGTCCTGACTAGTCCTGCTTCCTGCCTAGCCCAACCAGTTAAGTCCAGAACACTAGTCTCAGCCTCTGCAATATGAATTCTCATATTTCAAACATACTGAGTTTATATACCAACCAGACAGACCACATCGTACCATAAAATAGAAAATAACATTTTACAAAATTTGGCTAAATGTGACTGTGAATGTGTGAGGTAGTGACTAATAGACAGGGTATAATTCAAGAATGGTAAAACGTATAATAATAGTTCATAGGTCAAAATAAAGCTCATAATAATAGGGACATGAATATGAATAGTTTAGTTACTTAACAATTATACGATAAAAATATACTTTTAGTATTAGTCCATAAAAGGATCCCAAAGTTACCATTCATCATGTTTATCGGGACCTAACAGGATTATTGATATGAAAGTAAATTTAAGAAAACTTCACCCCTAGTCAATTAAGAAAAAATGTATCTTATATATGGTTATAAAGGAGATGCAATTATTAATTTACTAGAACCAAGTTTAAATAAATGTTCTTTACCTTAATACATTTTGTGCATTCCTGAATGCGAATAAAAAAAAATCTTCCAACTCTGTCCACTTCTGTGTACATATGTAAATTTAAATAGTCCATTGGAGAAAGAATAAGCATGCGATCTTTCTTCATGTTGCACAACACTTAGATAAATGCATAGCTAAATCATTGTTTGAGTCACTGCTAGAAAAGCCGACTTAGCATATTTGGTTGTTATTTTTCCAAAACTCAGTTGTACAGTGCACAAACTCCAGTATAGGAACTCAGATTTAAAACATTTTGAAAGTTCTGACTAAGCTTTGACTTAGTATTTGACTCGGATAAACGAAATGAAATAAAGATGATAATTTTATTTATACAGTAATAATTAGTTCCATCCATTATTATAATTAAAAAACGTACAACCTCATCCGACTGGTAGGAATGTATTTATAACTACATTTTGAGCTACTTACAAGTAGTATGAACGCAAAACGTGAAAAATAAACCCGTGGAACTGGAAAATCTGTTTCATTACATTTGCATTTCAAATCATCTGATCCATAATTTTACATAACCAAGTGGTCTTTTTTGTATATTTATGTTCGTTAAATTATATATAACACTCATTTTGACCACATTGTTATGAAATTCTTTTTAAACAAAACCGAATTATGTCAGCACTTTAAAAAGTCTATACAAAAGTTCAGCCGAAAATATTTACTCTGCTTTTAATAACTATCAAATACGGGAACTGATCAATCTGAGTTCGCTTTAATGTTAATGGTGTTACACCAACCTAATATAGAGAGTAACAGCTTTGTATGATGAATCACGTCATGACTAAATTAAAAGAATTGGAAACTTTTGAATAGTGAGTAAAATCGGAGTGCAGAACGCAGGTTCTGTTGGTGGTTCGTCATCTGGATATACCTGCATTACAGTGTTGGTGTAGACACTTACAGTTAGTACCATTTTCTATCCAGTTGATGGGTCTTTAATAAGACGGAATATATCTAGATTCTGCTGTTAACCACAATCCAAAGATGTAATAAACTTTTAACTTTTGATGATGTTATGTTCTTTGAGTTAAATGGTTTATCCGTGCTTTCATCGTCATTACAGATAACACCTTGAGCCCCTTCTTGATGTAATAGTAACTACTGAAAAGTTCTCATGAAATTTTTTTATTCATATCACATCATCTGATGTTCCTTTTCCGATAAAATTTCTGTCAAGGACAATCATTCATAGTGAACATTGTCGTTTGATTAATCATAGAAATTAATCAAACATGTAATTTCCCTTATACTTGAACAATCACTTCCATGTTACCTACAATCGCTTATTGTCATTAATAACATCATTTTCGTAAATTTCTCTGGCTTATTTTTAGTTTACTGAACTTGTTTAAACATGCAAAACTATTAATGCATGTCTATCGGTTGTTTATATACATATTCATATTACACGTAAATGTAGACTGGGTTTGACCTTTTTGAGGTCATTTAGGTGCAATTAAGTGCTTTATATTGCAATACATCTATACACTGAACTAATTTTCAAGAGGAATGAACATTATCAGAAATGAAACATATAGATATATTGATTGATTGACGGGAGTGTTACAATACAGTCTTATATACAAAGTTAAATTATACTGAAAGGTCACTATTGGAGATAGTGACAAGAATGTGTACACAATTGGTCATTTGAAATAAAAATGTTCAATACACTAGAGTTCTGATAATATTCCGAAACAATGTCAGTTCGGCTTTGTCAGTTTCATAAGTAAGTAAAAGTAAGAAATTAATTATACAACTAACAAATTTCACCAATGGTTGAATTCATGAGCCGATTTTAAGTTAGACCACTCTGGGAAACCTGGAAGCAGTGGACAGCCGTTTGATCCTAGTATGGGACTCCTCAGCGGTGCACATCCATGATCCCGCACACCGGAGTCGAACCCAGGACCTTCATTCTCACGCACGAACACTTCACCTCTAGATCACTGAACTGGCAGCCATCCAACGGTGTTAATGTCTAACTTCAACCAATCCACCAAATTGAACCACCGTCCATCATTGTCTTCAGTGAGTCTCACAAGAGACACGGTTGAAGACCACAGGTCACGTCTATTCACTAGAACTCCATGAAATCCATCTTGAAGCCAGTCAGTAGTGAGCACATAATGATTATTGTCAGAATGAGGGTTTGTGGAAATTAAATTACTACAATTTCCACAAACCCTCATTCTGACAAAATTTCATTAAGTTAACTAAGAAAAAGAGTATAATTTTAATGAAATAGGAAGTGTATAAGTAAACTAATTCAATGATTTCTGTATATTTCTGTGTATATCACAAAGGAGACTCAAACTAAGATAATAATTAAGAATTACTTTATACTCTCTTGTTTTATACGATTCTGTAACTCAAATTGATACATGACAAAAGTTACATACAAACAAAACAATTACTAATTTTTACTAGTTGAGATTATGAGTCAATTGAAGCTAGACCACCATCAAAAACCTGGAAGCACTGGGTGGCCGTTTCGTCCTATTATGGGACTCCTCAGCAGTGTGCATCCATGATCCCGCCTCACAAGATTCGAACCCAGGGCCAATCGGTCTCGGGTGCAAGCCCTCAGCCTTCAGACCACTGAGCCGGCAATTACTAAAAACAGTTTATTATAATTTTATATGTAAAATATATGAATAAACCAGTATAAAGTAAGAAATTAATGTTGATTGTTAGATTCATTTGAAATTCAATTTAATGATAAGTCTGTTAAGCTTTTTTTCAGTAAATCCTTTGTGTTTGTTCAGTCTTCCATCCTTCATGGAATTAATCACTTGTGTAAAACCGCCTCTTATAATATTTGCTCCCTTTTTTTCTGGTCTCACTGTGATAAAACTGTGGGTTGAGTTAAATTTTATTTCATTTTTTTTAGGATCCTATTTATTTGTCGTTTTGTGTGGAATAAAACAAAAGATTACAACTGGAGAGTTGACTGTCCCAGTTATTTTATATACGATAATCGTCTGAGCTCTTTTCACTCTACAAACCAGGAAAGTACTATACAACTGTTATTTTTTTTGTATGGGATTCTTCAGTGGTACAATTCAGCCAAACTCCAGAATTGTGGTGGACAAATGTCTCACAAGAATTGGCTGAAAGTTGAAATAGACACCACTAGATCCCAGTTCATTTGTCTAAAGGTTAAGTCTTTTTCCTTCAGACCAAAGTTCCTAGGTTCCATCACATGTAGTAGCTTCATAGAATCTCCTACTGGGGCGAAACAACAGTTCAGTACTTCCTGGTTTTTGGTAGTGGTCTCATTAAAACCAGAGACGCAAGGTATGAAAAGCGGTTTTTCGAAGGTACAATTTCGAGGAAACTATGTAATATATATATTTACTTGATATTGTTTTACTTGAATCTTCCCATTGATGTTTTAGGACTGAAATTGATCAGTCTGTTATTGGCATATGTGCATACTGTGCGTATGCCTCGATATTGCCTTAATTTACAAGCATTATAAGCAAAGATGGATAGTGGCTAGCAGTGGAATCCAGGACGCGCGTTTCGTCCTGTTTGCGACTCGTCAGTTGGATGTACCTGCATCTCAGAGTTGATGTTCATTCTGGGGCTCGAACTCAGTACCGTTCGCTTCAAACGCCATCAATCGGAAGATTCAAGTAAAACAATATCACGTAAATTAAACTTCACCCCATTGCACAAGCAAGTGGCTATCAGGACTCAGTAGCTAAGTGGATAACGCGATAGCGTTTGAAGCGAACGGTACTGAGTTCGAGTCCCAGAGTGAACATCAACTCAGATGCAGGTACATCCAGCTGACGAGTCCCAAACAGGACGAAACGTGCGTCCTGGATTCCACTGCTAGCCACTATCCATCTTTGCTTATATGTAATATATAGTTTCCAAAACTATGATGATATGAATAAAATAACCTTATGTAAGCAAATAGATTTAAAACATTTAGAAGCAATACCAGAAGATGGTCATCAGAATGTGATATCAAATGGGTAGTTTAGTCTGTTTCAGTTGAAACATTAGTGGATGTTAATCTTTTGATTATTTCGTAAATAAATTAGTTAAAATTGTATGATCAGTGGTCACTATTTACTATACATAAGAGATTAGTTCGACTAGTTCCTATACTTAAAGTAACTGATTTCAAGTGAAGTGTTTCCTTCTTTGACCTTTCCCATCGTGCTTCTTCATGTCCTTTGTAGATTATCTTGAAGTGATCAACTAATCAATGCTAAAATCTCTCCCGTTAACCAGCGATGCGTTAGATTTTTTATAAGTAAATATGCCAGACAGTTGAATTCGGCTGACAGGTAATAAACAAAAGTATTTTAAAAGTGTTACATCTTCTGAACCGAATGGTTTAGTGATAAAGCTTTCATTACCTTTCTAGGTATCATCAGAGTAAAATTCTAAGAGGTATTCCATGCTAAAATAAGGTTGGATGTATTTGTTTTCAGACTGATGATAATCGTAAATAAACTTCGAGATTTTAAAGAGAACATGTAGAGCTTTTCAAGTTTAAACTGAAAATATGAGTCGATAGTATCCTGTTTATTGTTTCTAATCCTCTAGCACTTTTCGTAGTAAAACCCATTAGTTAGCTTAGTGTTCACAATGTAAACAAAATAGATAGATTTTAAACAATATTAAAAACTATAACAACTCGGTCTGTTGTGAGATAGTAACTCACTGAAAACAATAGTAGACGGTGGCTCAATTTCGTGGATTGGTTGAAGTTAGACATTAACACCGTTAGATGCCGGCCATCTCAGCGGTTTAGTATTCGTGCGCGAGAATGAAGGTCTTGGGTTTGAATCCCGTGCACTGTCCAGTATTTCTAGGTTTTCCATGGTGGTCTAGCTATAAAATTACTAAAGTCTCCACAAAACCCCCCTTCTAATAACAATATTAGATTGTTTATCCGTGAATGAATAATTAGTATTGGACCAAATCAACTAAATGAACTGAATTTGTAAGCCATTACTCCAACCTATACGCTAATCATAAATTACTCTTTTTTCTCTCCCTCTCTCTCTCTCTCTTTCTCTTGAGACGCTTATAGAAATGCTTTCTAGTAATTAAATGGAAATACAAGTCCATGTGATGGATTTAATTATGGACATGTATCTTTGATAAAATAATCACTATTTCTTTCACATTCAATATGTTTACATTAAATGGACAAAATCATTTGGCAAAGTTAGATATGTATCAATTGGAGCTGAACACAGAATTAATCATTGAACAACACAATAAAAGATCAGGTCAATGTGACTTTTTTTTTGGTTGCCAATGACTGTAATAATTTCGTTACAAATTTCCAATTATATCTAGACAGACAACAACAGATACTGTTACTATGGAATGAGTCAAGCTAAATCATATAGGAAACAAACAATAATAGTGAGTTTATTATTCGTAAATTTGAAACAAAATTTAGTTTATTCGTTGTCTAAAACTCTTTTACAGTAGAATACTGATGGATTATAATTCAGGAGCTGAAAACAATAGTGTTGAAGATGCCACATGTATTTGGAATTTGACAAGGCTTTAACCAGTAACACCTTCTATTATGAATGGTAATCGCCAAGTGAAATTAAAAGACAGAAGCAAGGAGGTTCGTAAGTATATTTGATAGGCTATCAATATATCGAGGATCAACTGATTTAGACTGGCTAGTGATTGCAGGGGATGTTAAGCACAGCATTTCCACTCGTGATAAGGTGCGGATGATGATGATGATGATGATGATGATGATGATGATGATGATGATGATGATGATGATGATGATGATGATGATGATGATGATGATGATGATGATGATGATGATGATGATGATGATGATGATGATGATGATGATGATGATGATGATGATGATGATGATGATGATGATGATGATGATGATGATGATGATGATGATGATGATGATGATGATGATGATGATGATGATGATGATGATGATGATGATGATGATGATGATGATGATGATGATGATGATGATGATGATGATGATGATGATGATGATGATGATGATGATGATGATGATGATGATGATGATGATGATGATGATGATGATGATGATGATGATGATGATGATGATGATGATGATGATGATGATGATGATGATGATGATGATGATGATGATGATGATGATGATGATGATGATGATGATGATGATGATGATGATGATGATGATGATGATGATGATGATGATGATGATGATGATGATGATGATGATGATGATGATGATGATGATGATGATGATGATGATGATGATGATGATGATGATGATGATGATGATGATGATGATGATGATGATGATGATGATGATGATGATGATGATGATGATGATGATGATGATGATGATGATGATGATGATGATGATGATGATGATGATGATGATGATGATGATGATGATGATGATGATGATGATGATGATGATGATGATGATGATGATGATGATGATGATGATGATGATGATGATGATGATGATGATGATGATGATGATGATGATGATGATGATGATGATGATGATGATGATGATGATGATGATGATGATGATGATGATGATGATGATGATGATGATGATGATGATGATGATGATGATGATGATGATGATGATGATGATGATGATGATGATGATGATGATGATGATGATGATGATGATGATGATGATGATGATGATGATGATGATGATGATGATGATGATGATGATGATGATGATGATGATGATGATGATGATGATGATGATGATGATGATGATGATGATGATGATGATGATGATGATGATGATGATGATGATGATGATGATGATGATGATGATGATGATGATGATGATGATGATGATGATGATGATGATGATGATGATGATGATGATGATGATGATGATGATGATGATGATGATGATGATGATGATGATGATGATGATGATGATGATGATGATGATGATGATGATGATGATGATGATGATGATGATGATGATGATGATGATGATGATGATGATGATGATGATGATGATGATGATGATGATGATGATGATGATGATGATGATGATGATGATGATGATGATGATGATGATGATGATGATGATGATGATGATGATGATGATGATGATGATGATGATGATGATGATGATGATGATGATGATGATGATGATGATGATGATGATGATGATGATGATGATGATGATGATGATGATGATGATGATGATGATGATGATGATGATGATGATGATGATGATGATGATGATGATGATGATGATGATGATGATGATGATGATGATGATGATGATGATGATGATGATGATGATGATGATGATGATGATGATGATGATGATGATGATGATGATGATGATGATGATGATGATGATGATGATGATGATGATGATGATGATGATGATGATGATGATGATGATGATGATGATGATGATGATGATGATGATGATGATGATGATGATGATGATGATGATGATGATGATGATGATGATGATGATGATGATGATGATGATGATGATGATGATGATGATGATGATGATGATGATGATGATGATGATGATGATGATGATGATGATGATGATGATGATGATGATGATGATGATGATGATGATGATGATGATGATGATGATGATGATGATGATGATGATGATGATGATGATGATGATGATGATGATGATGATGATGATGATGATGATGATGATGATGATGATGATGATGATGATGATGATGATGATGATGATGATGATGATGATGATGATGACGATGAAGTTGTTGACAAATATAACAATGGTAATTACCATAATGATAATATTTTTGTCTTATCGGTTTAACTTGGCATAGGCAGTAAACATTAAAAGAAGAAAAAGCAAGAAAAAATGTGACGACTCTAAATTGGATTCTTATTTGTCTAGTTTCTAGGTTATTCTAATTGTATTGTTATCGTTTTTTTTAATTTCTTACTGTTACTATGACATTATTTTCTATTGTTCGTTTGTATTTCACCAACTTGTATAGAACATATTCAGGGTCATGAATGATTACTATATTGAAAATTGATAGAAGGAATTCATTTCCCCTATTTTACAAGAGATTATAATACACCTACACACATACACACACACACATTTAACATCATTAATGGATATCGTTTGATTTAACTGTTATTCACTTTAAGCAAAACATATATACAATATTATTTTGAATAAAATCAAACTAGGCGTTAATAACATTACTGTATAATTATGAGAGTGAGAGAGAGAGAGAGAGTGGAAAGTTTACCATGTAGAAATCAGTTGCTACACAAGTTATTTTTTTCTGACTCATAAATCTTTATAAACTAGATATTTATAATAAATGATATTTGATTTGTCATATCAAATATTTGATATCAGGAGGGGGTGTTGTGGATATTATAGTAATTTTCTTAGTTCAAATCATGAGTCGAATGAAGTTAAACCACCTGGAAGCACTGAACAGCCGTTTCGTTCTATTGTGGGACTCCTCAACAGAGAGCATCCACGATCCCACCTCACGAGTTTCGAATACAGGATCTATCAGTTTCGCTCACGAGCGCTTAACCACTAAACCACTGAGCGGGATGGCATTCAACGGTGTTAATGTCTAACTTCAAATAATCCACAAAATTCAACGACATATCTACCATAATCTTCAGTGAGTTACTATCTCATAACAAACCCAGGTTTTTATGGTTTTCCATAGTGGACTCATGATCTCAATTATTGAAATTATTATAATATCCACAAAAACCCCTTCTGATATTAATACAATTACCGTATAATTATGAGAGAGAGAGAGAGAGAAGTTTATCATGTGAAAATCAGTTGCTATACACAAGTTATTTTTTTCTATCTGACTCATAGATCTTTCTAAACCAGATATTTATAATAAGCGAAATTTGTCTTGTCATATCAAATAGGAATAAGAAAACAGGGCTCACCTATAATTTTAAGAAGATGAAGTTGATTAGATAATGTTTTAGTATAAAATCTGATTCATTTCTTTCAAATCTAATTGGGATATGAATTGATAGAAGTTCAACCTTATTGATTAGTTTATAACCTTTCCATTTTATTTTTGACCCATCAGTTGTTATCAACTTCTATACTATCTTGGTCAAATATCTGTGTAGAAATTACGATACCAATCCCTTAAGATATATATATATATATAATTATCAGAACCCGCGGGGGGCGGGTTCGTGGATGCGCACTGCTGAGGAGTCCCATACTAGGACGAAACGGCCGTCCAGTGCTTCCAGGTTTTCAATGGTGGTCTAGCTTCAACTAACTCATGATTTCAACCTGTGAAATATATACAATTGTCAATGGAACGAAATTCATATCCTATTTGAATACAATTTCCCCAAGAGGTAGTATCAACTAAAAAAACTGTTATAAACGAAGAAGTCACAGTCAAATGTATTTGTTTGCGAAAAAAGTGATGTAACCACATAGATAACAGCTAGGGAATTCACATTCATGGGCTTAACATTAATGTGATCACAGTGAAACCTAAATACCAACGATTCGACCTCATAGAAAGCTGAAGATGAATAAAACTGAAGGGTTTTTAGTTAAGATTGAATGATTGTTTAATTAGATCTGTTCTTAAGTAATTCGCTCAGTAATTTAGTTTCATAATGGAAACTACCTTTGAATTGAAGAAAAACGTGGTTCTGTAGAGGCTAATTTCCCCTATGTCTGACTTCAATAAATAGTATCCCGTTAACTGAGTATTAAATGCAGGCTAAATCTTCTAGTAGAATTACAGATATAATCGAGATTATTCAAAAGCCTAAACACCAGTTATAGAGACAGTTTAATGTTAAAGATTGGTAAAATCCGCAAGCGTACAGGAAGCAAGCACACAGGTGAAACAAGAGTGTGTGTGTGTGTGTTAAAAATCCATATATATTTAATGAGTGTTAATCAAGTATGGATAAATTATTGATTGTCTGTGTATTACAATCAATGGGAGAATAGATTAAAAATTGATGTGCAGAAATGTGCTCAATCATACACAGAAATGTACATAGTGGATCAAGTGTCTAAACTACAGTGAGCAGATAAATTATAGAGTAGTTGAATTGGCTTACTGCAGTTCTATAAAATAATAGCCGGTTTTCAATTTAGTTATCATAGTCCTTATAAGTCACACTATATAAAAATATATACACTAAGTTTCAGGTGACATTTCAGTACTGTATTGAATGCCAATGTCATTCAGTTGAGTTGAATAATCTTTAAAACTGTCTGATAAAACACATAGTTATAAAGTTTCACAGCTATTTCTCAACTTCTTTAACCATCTCACCGTCTTGTCATAATATTGTGATTATAATCTGACGAATTTTGAATGCTGTCAATAGAAGTCTAAAAAAAAAGAAGTTGAACAATCCATTCTGAATCATATTGAGAGAGAAATAGTTGAGTAAAGACTGATTTAATGACAAGGAAAACATTTTACAATAACCAACTATTTGTATTCTCTGTAAGTTAATCTGGATAGCTTATAACAACTAGTTTTGGAAAACCGGAAATCTTACATTTAATAGGCCTATTTTTAGTGTTCATTACAACCCATATTAAAATATGAATGTAGCCGCTCAAACAATCAACGAAGACAATAGTACTAACTTACTTACTTACGGCTGTTACTCCTCGTGAAGGAACATAGGCCGCTCACCAGCATTCGCCATCCAACTCTGTCCTGGACAATCCTTTCCAGCCCCTTCCAGTTGTTATTCATCCTTTCCATATCTGCTTTTATTTCCCGACGCAATGTGTTCTTTGGCTATCCTCTTTTCCGCCTTCCTTCAGGATTCCAAGTTAGGACTTGTCTCGTGATGCAGTTTGACGATTTACGTAGTGAATGCCCTATCCATTTCCATCGTCTTTTCCTAATTTCCTCTTCAGCTGGAAGCTGGTTTGTTCTCTCCCACAAAAGGCTGTAGCTGGTGGTATCCGGCCAATGGATGTTGAGTATCTTGCGTAGACAGCTAAGACAATAGTAAGTTATTTTTAATCTGAGTGATAAAAACAATCAAATCAACCTTCTTAATACATAGTTAAACGTGTATAAATTAGGGAATCGACTAAGTAAGCATACAATATAACCTTTTCAGATCGTCCTAAGATGACTCTTATTTAGGAAATACCAAGATGTGATTAGGTATTTAACGATTTTGAAAGTGATTAAAAGCCTGTGGTTCATTGTTATCTGAAGTTTATACTGATGATGTCTTGGAAAACGATGAAAGCTTTATAACTGAATCACACAGCTCAGAGAACCTAATTTCAAAAAAAACCATTTTACGTAGCTACAAATCTTCTTCCTTCTCTAATAGTTGACAATTCACTCCGAAGACAGTATCACAATGATATTGCTATTCTAAGCTAAAATTACGGTTGTGCATTTCAAACAACCCAAATGCCATAATCAATGTACATAGTTCTTGTAGGTAGATCGAACAGATTGATTGATACTAAAGGATAACGAGTTCAAATTTTCTGGAGGTGTTCTGGTCTCTGAGATAATTAGTTTAGTTGTAAAACTCATTAACAAATACTCAGAAAAGAAATGAGTTATTATTAATTATTCAACAATTGACTAACAGCTCATTCTGTCGACCTAGAATCCGGATGGTTGTTACCTAGAAATGTATCACCAACAGTTGCATGTCTGTCTTGGTTATTGATTCTCTTCATTTGAACTTTCGTCTTGTAGGTTTTATTAATGGCTCGTAGATTTGACCGATTTCGATACTTGATTAGAATGCAAGGCTTTTAAAAATTCTCTCTATTTCTTCGTATATCATATGTTCAGTATTTCGACGTTTTCTCAGACTAACTCATTTCCACAGCTGTCTTTAAGAGAAACTTTATCGTTTCATTTTACAGGTAACTTATGTTTATGTATACGTAGACGGACTCAAATTTATCTTTTAGGCCGAAGTATAAGGTGAATATTTCGTATCACGTCAATTCATTGCCTTCGTATCTAAATATCATGTCTCCTGAAGTTTCTTGGCGAATTCATGATTACTTTATCCCTACTACTATCCTGCGCTTTCGACGGCTCTTTCATGTAGACATTTTCACTAATGACTGTCATAGTGGTCATCTTAATTTATACAGTTGATGTGCTAGTTTAACCAAAGATGTGTACACAATGCTTAAGTTTATATGGTAGTAATAAAGTTTACCAAATATCCCACAATGTTTGGAAGCTTGCTTAGTAATTTCCGAAACATTGTTTATTGATCTGTTAATTACTTTTTTTCTGGTCGGCGTTTTTTGGCGAGTTAGTTTTCTACGGGATAACGTCGCTAATCCCATGCCCAATCCTCCTCCTTTACCCGAGCTTGGGACCGGCAGTAACTCTGGAAGAGCTACAGGCGGAGTTTTATTTTTAGAAAATAATTGTTCTATAGCGTAGCAATCAAATATATCTAATAGGTTCTCCGCATCAAAAAAAAATTCATTGAAAATGTCGAAGAACTCTTACGCCATAGTTACTTACTTACTTACGCCTGTTACTCCTAATGGAGCATAGGCCGCCGACCAGTATTCTCCAACCCACTCTGTCCTGGACCTTCTTTTCTAGTTCCATTCAATTCTTGTTCATTTTTCTCATGCTTATCTCCATTTCCCGGCGTCATGTGTTCTTTGGTCTTCCTCTCCTCCTCCTTTGGCCTTGAGGATTCCATGTGAGGGCTTGTCTTGTGATGCAGTTGGGTGCTTTCCTCAATGTGTGTCCTATCCACTTCCAGCTACGCCATAATTAGCTCAGTATAATTATAACGATTTCC